TATTTTGAGAATAGGAGCCTTTGTCAGATTTTTCATTGCATGTATTTTCTGCATCTGTGGATTACCTTTTCATTCTCTTATCATCGTCTTTCAAACAACAGAAATTTTTTGTTTTGCTAAAGCCTAATTTATGATGTTTTTTTTTTTATGACTTATGCTTTCTGTGTCCTAAACCAGGGTCACAAATATTTTCTTATAACCTTTCTTCAGGAAGTGCTGCATTTTGATCCCTGATCCATTTTAAGCTAATTTTTGTATTTGGCCCAAGATAAGAGTCAAAGTTCCTTTTTTGCATATTTATGTCTGGTTGTTCCAGCACCATGTTGTGAAAAAAATATCATTTTGCCAGTGAATTAATTACCTTGACACCTTTGTCAAAAACGATTGACCATCTACGTAGTGGTTTATCTCTGGATTCTCTTCTGTTCCATTGATCAGCATGTCTGCCTGTACACCAATATCACACTGTTTTGATTATTGTAGTCTGTTAGTCATGGGGTCACCATAAGTTGGAATTGACTCAACAGCAACTAAAAACAACAGTTATGAAATCGGGTATTGTGAATCTTGCAACTTTTTTTTTTTAAATTTTTTTGGCTATTCTGGCTGCTTTGCAATTCAATATATAATATTTTACAATCAGCTAGTCAATTTCTACCAAAAAAAGCCTCCTAGGATTTTCATTGGGATTATGTTGAACGATATAGATCAATCTGAGGGAATTGACATCTTAACAATATTGAGTTTTCTGATTAGGTGCCTAGGTAATTCACTGGGGAAAGGATGATCTTTTCAACACTCATTTTTATTTCTTTTGTTTTCATTTTTATTAGGCTCAAAATATTTTCTAATTTACATTGCAGTTTATTTTTTGACTCTCAACTCTGTATGATTTCAGTACTTTTATGTCTATTGAGACTTATTTAAATGTCTGAACATATGGGCTAACTTGTTGGATGTTCATGAGCCCTTTAAAGAATATATATATTCTACTGTTTTGAGGTCGAGTGTTCTGTAAATGTCCATTAAGTCAAGGTGGTTGACTTACTCAGATCTTCTGCATCCCTACTGACAAGAGTTATGGAAACTTCCAATTATAATTATGGATTTGTCTTTTTTTTCCCGTCAGGTTTTGCTTCATGTATATTGGAATTCTGTTGTTTGGTGCATATATGCTTAGGACTTTATGTCTTCCTTATGAATTGTCTCCTTTCTCATTATGAAACTACCTCTTTATCTCAGGTAGTATTTCTTCTTCTGGAATCTGTCTGATACTAATACAGCCACAGAGCCCTGGTGGCACAGTGTTTAAGAGCTCGGCTGCTAACCAAGAGGTCAGCAGTTCAAATCCACCAGCCACCCCTTGGAAACCGTATGGGGCAGTTCTGCTCTGTCCTGCAGGGTTGGTATGAGTTAGAACTGACTTGATGGCACCCAACAACAACAACAATATAGCCACATCAGCTTTTTTTAAATTAATGTTTGTGTGGTATATATTTTTCATTCTTTACTTTTAATCTATTTTTGTCTTTATATTTAAGGTAAATTTCTCAAGACTGTACCCAGTCAGGACTTGCTATTTACTCCATTCTGATGGTTAAAAATGTGTTTAGACCATTTGCATTTAAAGTAATTGTTTATATTGTTGAGTTTAACACTACCGTAGAATTTAGGGTTGAAAATATTTTTCTTTCAGCACGTTGAAGATGCTGTTTCATTCTCTTCCAGCTTGTATTATTTCTTACAGGAAGTCTGCTGTCATTCTTATCTTTGTTCTTTCCACAAGATGTATAGTTTTTTGTCCTTGCTGCTGTTAAGGTTTTCCCTTTGTCACGGTTTTTAATTATTAAGTCTGTGTGTGTGTGCACGTGTGTGTGTACCTTGTTTGGAGTTTTTTGAGCCTCTTGCATGTGTGAGTCTATAGTTGTCATCACATTTGACCATTTTCTTAAAATATTCTTTTATTTTAGAACAGTTTTAAGATTTACAGAATTTTTGCAAAGATAGTATGGAGAGTTACTGTGTTATCATACCCAATTCCTCTATTATTAATATCATACATTAGTGTGACACGTTTGTCACATGTAATGGACCAGTATTAATATGTTGTTATTAATTGAAGTCCATACTTTCTTCAGATTTTCTCAGTTTTCCCCTAATGGCCTTTATCTGTTTTAGACTCCCATCCAGCTTGTCAAATTACATTTAGTAGTAAATTCTCTTTAGGCTCCTCTTAGTTGTGATAGTTTCTCAGAATTTCCTTGTCTTTGATGACCTTGACAGTTTTCAGGATTATTGATTATATAATCTGTAGACTGTCCCTCAATTGGGATTTGTCTGATGTTTTCCTCATGATTAGACTGTGATAATGCGGTTTTGGAAGGAAGAACTACAGAGGTATTTGCCTATCTCATTGCATCATATTAAGGGTATTGTTGGGTGCCATTGCATCAAATTCAGCTCATAGCAATCTCATGTGACAGAATAGACTGCCCCATAGGGTTTTCTTGGCTGTAAACTTTACGGAAGCAGATCACCAGGTGTTGTCCCCATGGAGCATTTGGGTGGGTTTGACCGCCAACCGTTTGGTTAGCAGCCAAGTGCTTAACCGTTTGCACCATCAGGGCACCATCAAGAGTACCTATTGTCAATATGACTTATCACTACTGATGTTAGCATTGATCACCTGGCTTGAGGTAGTGTTTGGCAGGTTTCTCCAACATAATGTTACTCCTTTTTTTTTTCTCCTTTTCTACAATGTATTCACTGAAATGAAGGAAGTCATTATGCTCAGCCCACACTTAAAGAATGGGGCATTATGGTCTACCTCCTTAAAGGCATAGTATCTATGTAAATTATTTGGAATTCTTCTGCATGGAGGACTTCCTATTCTCTCTATTTATTGTTAAATAATTTTTTATATCATTAAACTACTGGATACTTATTTTATACTTTGAGCTATAATCTAACACTACTCTATTTTGTTCCTCAAATTGTTTCGTTTTGCAATTAGAGTGATATTCTCCTATAGTTGTAGGGTTTTGTTGTTATTCTGATTGTTGTTTTTGAGCACTTTCTTTATTTCTGGCAGTACGAAATACTCCAGGCTCATCCTGTGTGTTTCCTGCCCAAATCCTAAAAATGCACATTTCTCCTGGCTCCTTTTCTTGGGTTCGAAATTACTGTTAGAAACCAACATCTGGGTACAATTTTGCTCGTTGCTATTGGGATGTCTGTACGGTTGCTATGAGTCGGAATCAACTTGACGGCAATGGATTTGGTTAGGTTTTGGTTTTACTGGGATGTCTTTGCTTGTAGGCTCCCTCAGCTGAAAGAGCAAGGATATATGTGTGTATACTAAACCTGGTATGTACATGTAGTCATAAATATTTCTATATGTAATCATCTGTGTCTATATTAGGCTACACACGAGTTTATACTGATGTCTCTAATTCTGATCATTACCACATGGATCATTCTAGCCTCCCTCTCCCTCCTTTGTTTATCTGTATTCTCCCACTCCAAGAGTAAGAAACCTGGCTCCCCAATTCACCATCCATTTGCTTAATTTTTGACTTCCAGTATGCATGTATAGTGCTTCAGAATTGTTAACTCATACCCCTGCTGGAAAAACTTCTATCAACTAGAATACTGTGCGTATGTAAGTTTTCTTTTGCTTTTAGTCATAGACTCCACTCATTCTAAAGTTAGTTAGGTCAGCATCTTTTTCCTTTACACTCTTTAATAAGGTTGTTTCATACAGTTATATTTTCTTGTCATATTTTCCATGCTATCCTGGGACCCCCTGACATTTGTATTATTTTTTAAAACTTTTCATACATTAAAGTTTAACCTTTATGTTGTAAAGTTTATAGGTTTTGACAAATGTTTAGTATCTTGTTTCTACCAAGTTATCCTGTATCACACAGAATAATTTCACCACCTTAAAAATCTCCTGTGCTTTACCTATTTAACCTCCCTCCCAAACCCCTGGGAGTCACTGATCTATTTACTCTTTGTATTCTTCTCCCTTTTCCAGAATGTCATATAATTGGAATCATATACATGTAGAATTTTCATACTGACTTCTTCCTCTTAGCAGTATACATTTAAGATTTATTCATGTCTTTTTGTGGCTTGATACATTATTTTTATCAATGTATAATATTCCATTTGTATGCATGTAACACAGTTTTTTACCCGTTCACTTTTTAAAGGACATCTTGGGTTTCTTCCAAGTTTTGGCAATTTTGAATAAAGCTGCTATAAACATTCATGTATAGGTTTTGATGTGGGCATAGTTTTCAACTTACTTGGGTAAATACCAAGGAGCATGATTGCTGAGTCATATGATAGGACTATGTTTACCTTTGTAAGAAACTGCCAGATTGTCTT